TATATATATATATATATATATTTCAACTGATGCTTTCCCCCTGATGAAATGAATAATGATAAGGAAATCTGGATTTTGACAGTAATCTACTTGAGTTGGCACATTGAACCATAATCCATTTAGTTTCTATGGTAATGGATGGAAATACTAGACTGTTATCAATGAAAATAAATGTATGATGATGGAAATTATAGGAGAATTAATAAAAGTAGATAAAATGCACCTTAAGAGACGAAATAGTAAGTAAGGGAAATAGCCTCTGGCAGGAATCTGAAGACAGGAGTTTTAAAGAATGACAACCAATTAGAATGAAGAAGTCCTATACCCTTTTAAACAGAGATAAACATACATAATGAAAGGAATATGATTAGATATTTTAATAATTTCTAGTACTTTAATGATAACATGTTATATGGAAGAAGCATTACCTCATTTTATTAGCAGCTTTGACAAACTTACAGTAAAAGTGCATTGACCAGAAGTCCCATCAAATATATGAACTGCTTAATTTTGAAACATCAGGCAAGAAAACTTTACTATGATTATGACTCATACAATTTAGCTTTCTAAGCTAAAATAAATTATTAAGAAATACTAAATGAATGACAAGCTGCCCATATTCAAGTTTTGGAATTATACATTTTACTCAAGGTAGCCTTACGAGTAGTGTGAGGAAAACTGACATACCTCCAGCTGCTTACTAGCTTCTTCATTTCTCAGTATCAGAGACAACTTAGTGCGCAGACTTCGAAAGTGCATGTCAATCAACATATGTGCTCGCTTTGAAGTGACTTCATTGATGGACTAAATGATTAAGTTAACAACGTTATTATCAAAGCAAATTCCCCAAGTGAAATAAACCAAAAATAGACAACTTGGAAACACTCACCAAAATGACAAGCTGATAATTTTCTGGATCATAAGTTACAGAGAAGGCACCAACTGCCTTTTTAAAGTCCTTATGTGCCGATTCTTTGGCACACCTAGAAATAAAAAGAAACCCATTGTTGAGTGATTACTAACTACTGACAAAAATATATTCAGATTTATACTTAGGAGAATCATGGATTCATATTAAATTTTATTTATGCAAAATACATTATATCCATTTAAAAGATTAGTTCCTTTGTTGTATATCTTGAAACAGTCAAATCAAGCACTTGATTTTATAAAAAAAAAAAAAGAAAAAAAAAGAAAGATTTATGTTCTAAAGGAATTACTTGTGGGTTTAGATTACCAAAGGAAACATATTTAGGGGAACCACTCTTCTCTGTAGGCTTTCCAATTTTGGTTACATATAAGTCAGTAGATTCCTTGAGTCAATATTTAAAAACTTATGGGGATAGCTACTGGGTATCCAATTTTGTTTTGGTTTTCCTTTAAATTTGAAGGAAATAAAAAAAGAAGTATGAATGAGAAGGCAGAAAATTTACGTATAAATACAACCTCTAGAATAAAAAAGGGTTTCTATGTATTCTGATCTGCAATTTATCTGAGTTGCAGTATGTCCAAATCAAACTTACTATATGCCCTTGATAAAATTTTTAAAAAGTAATCTCTTAACTGAAGTCTTTAGCCATTACTCCATATCAAATATTATAAACATATCTTCAATATTTTTTAACCCTGCTTAGTGCATATTTATTTAAAAATATTTTAGCTAAAGGGGAAAAATCTGGAGAAACTTTCATAGTCTAGAATTTGATTTGTCAAAATCGTAATATTTGTTTTTATCAGTTCTGAAATCTTGAAACTTACAAAAATGTTAGTTTATTTTACAAAACAAATATATGTTATGTACATTAGTTATTTTTCTAGCCAACTAAGTTTAAACAAGCACCAAGTCTGGCTGTGATTATATAACTAGAGAAAACAAAAAAAGTTATTTTCTAATTACTTTTCAGACCAAACCATTTTTTGCCAAAGCTTACTGAAATTAAAAATTGACTTGTACTATTTTAAAATTTATATTATTTTAAATTCACTGCATATCATCTGCATGTTCTCACCATTTCTTGTGTATAAACTTACATTTGTCTTAAGTCTTCTGGCACGTCAAGTTTGATCTTATGGAAAGTATCTTTTGTAGCAGGTTTGTTTGGATTAACCGATCGTAGACGCTCAATCGTGACAATTTCATTGTATGTAGCATCACATGCTGCATATTCTATCACATAAAACTGAGAAATACATAAAATCATTCCTGCTCATAGTTTTAATTTTTTTTAAATCAAGAGCGAAAACTTATACCTATTGAAGTATTTTCAAAATAAATTCTTTATAGAAAAAAATCAATAAACTTAAATATACTGAACATATAGAGAAAACATTATAGAAAAGTGACTCAAATTTGGTATTAATTCAAATACAAATTCAAACTGAAATGTAGTGTCTGGGCTTAGAGAAGTATAAGAAAAAAATTAAATTAGCATTTTCCTACCTCACCCTTTATCATCCTCACTTTAGCTAACCACCAACAGCAAGGCTCTTTTTCATTTGCTCTGGAATAAACCTACACAAAAATTGCAACACAGAATATTTATGATTAACATAATATAAAAATCTATACATTATCAGACATTGAGGAAATTTTCTTAAAATGCCTGTCATTAAATCATATGCCATATGCTTTCAAACAAATTGTATCCTTGTCTCTACCCTGAGCTAGACAAAGATACATAATCAGAAACTACCTGAGATTGCCTGGGAGCTCCCTGTTAAAAGCAGTTCACCTAGTTCTTTGTTCTACTTCAGTAATACTCAGTACTCTGAACATGCATGCTTAAGAAAGTCTTATTGTTCATAAATGTGGGCACTTTCCTTAGCTACCTATTGAACTACAAAAATGTATCTAAAATGTACAAACTTGCTTTTGTTTTATTCAGATAAGCAACTAAACTAATCAGACGTTACTGACTATGGCCTACTGCCTGGTCACTAACGGGTAAGATCACTAACTGACCAACCACTCAGCCCACTAGGGATACCACCCTGTCCTCCTTGTTTTCTGAGGACTAAATGGACAGATCCTTGGTTACTGTTGGGACTCCTGCCTCCTCTCCACTAAAAAGGACAAATCCACGCTGGCAATCTTCTGGATATCACATTCCTGCTCTCTCACACACTGTGGACCAGTTCTTCTAACCGATCTCTCTGGTGACCACTTCAAAGTTCACTTACGATGTGCAGCATGGAACCTTTGGTGAAGACACTAGCAAATCATGGTTAATAGGAAAAGAAACAATACAATATATATGTTGAGAGATAGAAATACTCAGAAGCAGAAAGTAGAAGCAGGGAGGACAAGAGGGGTAGAGAAGAAAGGCCCCAAGAGGAGAGAGAGGTATCGAATCTAAGGTTGACAAGCAGGTCAAGGCTCAAACTTGTCTCCCTTTTACAACTAGAGTTAATGGTTATATAACTTAACGTACCTTTCCTTCTGGCCTCCACTGCTCTCTAGACTCTGCTCTAGCCAAAGAAATAACCTGAACTGTTACGTAATACAGTGAGGTTATCCTAGCAACAGCATCTCAATGACTTCCACATGTCATGTGACTACAGAGAAAAACAAAAAGGTCCACTTTACCCCTTCAGCAAACACTATTATGAGTACTACTGATACAGACAGACCAAAAGACTTGGCCCTTGTTTTCAGAGAGCTTGTAATCTTTTGGGTAAGTAGACAGTGAAAAGTCTTGAAATATAGATAACATTTCTGTTCCCTATTATGATCCCTTGCAAAATCAAGCCCCATTGCTTATACCTAGCAAGTATTCAGAACATGTTTGGTAAATAAATAATACTTTATTTATATTTTTAAATTATAGAAAACGAACCAGGCCTGGACATTGAGACCTTCCCTAATTACTCTCTAAAGTAGCAGTCCTGCACCTATATTACCTTTCATCTCGGCTTTTTTTTCCTTCATGACTTTCACTTGCCATGATAATAGCTATCCTCACTAGAATGTGACCTTAACAAAGGCAGAGACTCTGTCCTGTTTTTGTTGCACCTTTGGTACCTAGAGTAGAAAATAAGAATTCAAGTACAAGGACCTAGTACCATTTTGCCTTACCTCTACATATGTGCACTTAGTTGCTTTCTTCATATTTTAAATACAAATGAAGTTACAGTTACTAATAAGGCATTATGCTAAGTGTTTTGCAGAAAAAAGAGAAGTAGCTCACAATGAAATATGAAAGGGTAGGAAGGAAATGGATGCTACTACACAAATTAACACAAAGGAGATTATAAGTGCCTTAAATACAAAACCAATTTCTAATGAACAGAGAATCATAAACACAATGATTCTGATCATGTGCTAAATCTCCATAGCAACTTTTAGTCAAACAGCTCAATGGCAGATGACCAGGTTGTTCACAGTATACTCTATGAAAAAGATTTTATCCATATGTATCAACTGAGAGCTGTAGGTTTTAAAAAATACATCAGGAAAATTCACTGCTACAGAAATAAATTTTCCTAATACATTTTGCTTAAAACAGGGATACAGTTTTAAATAAACATTATTTAAATAAAAATTCACATATGGAAGGAAAGGGAAAAGTACTAATGGGCAAAAGAACTTGGGGCAGTGACTTTTAAAGACATTCCCTGAGAGGGGCTAGAGATGTTGGCTCAGTGCTAGAGCACTGACCTAGCATGTATGAAGCCTTGAGTTCAATCCCCAGTACTTAAAAAAAAAAGACATTCCCTGAGTTCTACTGAAATAGACAACCTTAAGCATTGTATAATTTTATATTATTTCAAATCATTATTAAGAAGGGCCAGTCAAAAGCACATATCTACCTCAGTTATGAAACTCAAGGCAGCTTAAATAGTGCATAAAGCAAGGTAGAGATAGATATATAAAAAGCGAAGGCAAATTAAATACACAATTCCTTCCATACTTAATGTTATGGCAGGGGGAACTCACCTCAACTTCATCACTTTCATTTATATCTTTATTATAACCTACAGGTGGTGGGAATCTCACATCATGGAATGGAATCTGTCTCTCTGGCTGCCAGCTGAAAATAAACAAACATGTAATTATTTAACATGCTTTTGGTGTGTAAATCTAACAGTGACCTCACTGCCATTAATTTTTGATTAAGTGTAACCCTTGATTTCTAGTTTAAAGAAGCAAATGCTTTTAAAATGGCCAGTTTTTGCTGAGTATAATGGCAATATAGACACATTTCAACAAAGTCTGCATGCAGCATAGCAGCCTTGTACTTCCACTTGGAATATTTCTCTAAACACAATAAATCAACAATTTTTATTTTCAAAAAAAGTCTTTCTTCAATAATTTCAACTTCTACTAGTTTTAAATATTAAGGACAGAAATTTCCTTTGATGCTTAAATTAAATGTTAGTATCAATAACTGTTAGTAATATCATCAACATACTTGTACTTGCAAAGGAATTTTAACCACATTCCAATAATCAAAGAAACTGCCCTCTAATTCCCAAGCAAAATGGGGCAGTCAGCACATTAGCAATTCACAACTCACTTTTCCCCCTTTAAATTTTAGATCCCACGAGGCCGTCAATTCCATGGGTAGCTGGCTGCTGATCAGAATGACGTATCAGCATGCACTGGGTTGGTGGGGGTCTCCTAAACCACAGAAACCCGATGGAGATAGCCTATAGGAGTTCAATTAAGTTGTCTATTTTTTGTAATTTAAAATGATAAGGAAAACTTTGAAAGATACCAACTTATTCTTTCATACCCCAAAAAATTATAAATTATTAAAAGAAAATTTGTAAAACACTGGAGAATTCAACTTCTGGAGCAGTCACTTCTGGGTTCTTTCTGGGGTGTCTTATCAGCAAATATTACAATTTGTTCTATGTCTAAAGTCTACGTTATGTTAAGGGGCTTTCTTAGTAAAATCCTATTGAGGAAAGTGCTGATTTTTTTTTTAAAGGATATAAGAGGGCAAGTGATTAAGTCAGAATTTGTAGACATCTGAATAGCACTGAAATTAGCAGAACCCTCCCCCTGACTTATTACACACACTTGAAAACTATAGAAACTTTCTAGAAAACAGTCTTTACTTGAGAAAAGCCTTTTTATACTAACTGAAAATTAGAGGCTTTAACATGTTACAAAACCATTAGTAAATTTGTAATGCATGTAATAATGCAAAATATATTTTTCTTGATTCCAGTGAAGGAAAATTATTTAAATTCTTAAGTGTATAGAGATAAAAATTCAAATTCGTTATTTAAAAATGTGAAATATGGAAGGTAAAAACAAAGCACCTAAAACAATCTGGTATAATAGTAAAGCAGTGTTTCTTTATGACTGACAGGAAAGGAAGAATAAATCTCAATTAAAGTTCTTTGAAACACTGTTCAAACATTCTCCAAGAAGACAAGGAAAAACGGATGCTCTACTTCAAATTCTCAGGACTACAGACACAGCTTGAAGAGATACTTTTAAGCAGATGTGATACAGGAGATAAATAATTAGGAGGGGAACAGAATAATTTTATATTTACAGTAGAAATCTGGTTGAAAAATCAAAGAGAACTGATCTGATAAATTAATGTATAAACTAGACACATTTTTGACATAAATGGAGGTGATGAGTATTTGCTTAATACTGTAAACTACAGAGAAACTAACTCTCCTATTATGGCAAACAGTGTTAACCTAGTAAAGGGATAAGAGTATAACTGCAAGAAAAATTACTCTCCAAGTTATCAAACATTCCTCCATTAGAGGTATGATAATATTGTCGCCTACTATACAACCAGATACTCAAAAAAGAAAAGTGGCAAATGCTGAAACTTTGGGGTTTAGGTATGCAAAGAAAAAGACATTCTATTATTCAAACTTGTATTGTGGACTGAGATTACCAGGGCACAGGTTTGGATATTTTCAACCCTTTTACCTCCATCTCTCTAAATGTGTCTCAGGCATCTAAGGATACTACTACTTTGTCCTGCTGCTAGCTAAAGAACCAACTTACAATCTAATTATAAGAGTTGCTAGACACTAAATGCAGACTTACACTTAATTTTCTAGAGCATGTTTTTATTTATTGCTCAGTACATCTGGGTCATGTACTACATTTTAGCAGATTTATTGAGAAAAGAGTCATAAACCATATAATCCACCAATTTCAGTGTACAATTTAGTGGCTTACAGTATGTTCACACATATGCACAATCATTACTAGTAATTTTAGAACATTTTCATCATTTCAGAGAAGTACTAAGCAGGCACTAATCAATTTTCTGTCTCTACATATTTGTAGCCTGCTTTTGATATACCATTACTTCTCTTAGTACATAAAAACCCAAACTACTAACTGTTGGTCATTTATCAGTATTCAGCAAAATCCCAAAATTGTGACCCCACTTACACTTTAGTTTATAGGTACTTTAATATATTGAACAATTACTATGAAAATAGCCTTTGTTAGTATTCAAAAAATGTGTCAAAAGACTTGTCTCCCCCAATAAAATGTTAACATCTATACTTTAATACAACTAATATTTCCAGATAAATATCTTTATTTTCTGATTTAACTAAAGAATGTAGAAAAGATCTTATTATTATTGATTATAAATATATGAAGGTAATGGTAAATATGACTGTTTCTGATAAAATATACTAGACAACTAAAAACATTAGTTTTAGATTTAATGTTACAAAATCCAGATGATTTTGTGGCCAATATCCATAAATCCCTTCATTTTCATCTTTCACAAAAATTACAAATATTCCTATTTACTAATACAGAAGATTCTGGTTTCTTTTTCACAGTCAAAGGGACTAAATCAAGCATCAAGATTATACGATAGGGAGCTCCTAAGTCATTAACAAGAACAGTCATTCCACTGATTTAACAGTTGTTCAGGAACTTCTTGGTCAGTAATATGAAAATCATTCAGACTAGACTTGAATTTTAAAGATAAAAAGCAAACAGAGAAATCATCATAAAATATTACACGATCTGAACATTAAAATTATATTAAGACACTTACTTGTTTTCAAATGAAACTGTTATTGAATCCTCATGAACATCCTTTACAAATGCCTGTAAAAAAAACACAATTAACTCAAGACCATTTTTAGTTAAATTTTAGAGATACCAAACATTCTATGCTGAAGAATAAAATGGAGCATTGAGGAACAAGTTTGTTTTTGAGGTTTATTCATCCATTTATCACGTCTATATGGCCACCTACTATACGGTGTACTCTAGGAATAGAAACAGTTCAAACACTAAACAAGAAAAATTGCTCCACAGAGGTCAGAATCTCATAAGAGTTAAGTACAATGAAAATTACAATGTGGTGGTGAGTATAAAGTTGGAAGTACACTTTGGAATAGTATTATTCAAAATTAAGAAACTTGTTCCAGGGGCTGGGGTTGTGGCTCAGCAGTAGAGTGCTCGCCCCGCACGTGTGAGACCCTGGGTTCGATCCTCAGCATCATATAAAAATAAATAAGTGAAATAAAGATATTGAGTCCAACTACAACTAAAAAATAAATATTTTTTTAAAAAGAAACTTGTTCCAGAGCCATATGTCAGCCAGCATAGATGTGTTGCAGTTTATGAACAAATGCTATTTCCTTCCTATTGACCTTCGCCTCTTTTCACCTAGTTATCTTCTATTGATTTTTCAGGTTTCAATACAGATGCCCCTTTCTATGAAAACCTAGAAGACTAGGTTAAATCCCTATCCTCTGCTTTCTCAGCATTCTGTGCTTATCCCTACTATAAGCTTACTCCACTATATTATTGTTCATTTTCTCACTAACAGTAATATTGGGTGTTTTGGGGTCTTATTTACTTACACTATGGATTGAACCTAGGGTGCTTTACCAATGAATACATCCCCTTTCTTCTTCTTCCGTTTTTTTTTTTTTTTTTTTTTTTTTGACAAGGTCTTGCTAAGTTGCTGAGGCTGGCCTCCAACTTACTATCCTCCTGCCTCAGCCTCGCAGAGTTGCTGGGATTGCAGGCATATGCCACCATGCCACCAGGTCTTATTTTATTTAGTTATTTTCCAGAGTGCCTAGTATTAACTCAATGATTACTTACTAGGTACTAGGCAGATAACTGCCTAAGAAGTTGCACTGCCAGCCCTGGGAAAAATTGTGTGTGGTGTTGGTGGTGGTAGACTGATAAGGGAAACTTATTGAAAGAGGTCAGGTTTCTACTAAACCTCAAAGAATAAGGGAAGAATTAGCTAACCAAGAGAATGTAGGATGCAGAAGCATTCTACCAGGTCAAAGAGGCAGAAAGAACAAAAGCTCAGACTATGAGAAACAGCTTTAAGTGTGATAGAAATAAATTCTTTATCAACAAGGAAGTCAAGAAAACTCAATGGGGAAAGAATAAGTGTTTTCAATAAGTGGTGTTGAGAAATTGGATATCCATGCAAAACAATAAACTTTGAACTTTACCTCACACCATAGAAAAATCAACTAAAATACATCAGATACCTAAATGTAAGGGCTAATGCTTTGAAATTCTTAGGGAAAAACAGTAAATCCTTGTGATTTGAGATATTAGATATCCATATTGGTTATTCGAAAGAAGATTAGTTTGGATTAACACCATTCTTCAATGTCTGTACTCTCAGTAACTGGCACAATTTCTAGCATATACTGGGCATCCTATAAATGTCTTGATAAACAAACATGTCTTCAAAAGTCTGATGCAAAAGGATTCTTTAAAATATGAAACTCCCCTTAATATCAAATTAAAGCATGTGAGTCAAACATTAACTAACAGTTACTAAGAAAAAACTATGGAAGCTGAGTCAAGACCATGGAAAATACTGATATGGAAGCAATTTATAAACAGAGACACTAAACTTTGGCAATAATTACAGGATGAATAAAAATAAAGTTATGTTTAAAAGAAAGTTTCCTTGTAAGAAAGATAAGGGTGGACTACCATGGCATCTCTGTGTTCTACAATACCTAAGGTGGGTAAATTATTAAATTATTTTTAGGTTAGGTGTGGTATATATCCTTTTAGTTACTGGTTTAAAGGGGAAGACACACTCATTTTCTTGCCATCATTCTGATCTTGCCTTTTTTTTTTTCTTCTGGTACCAGGGATTGAACCCAGGGACACTTAACTACAGAGTCACATCTTTTAAAAAATATTTTATTTAGAAACAGGGTCTCCCTGAGTTGTTTAGGGCTCACTAAGTTGCCAAGGCTGGCTTTGAACTCAAGATCCTCCTGCGTCAGCCTTCTGGGCCTCTAGGATTACAGGCATGCAGCATTGAGCCTGGTTGATCTTGCTTATTTTTCCTCAACTATAATTAAACTACCAACATTATCTATTTTGAAAACTATGGGCATGATATTTTGGAATACACCAGATTTTTCATAATGGTACATGACCCAGTGCTCTAAAAGGTTGTTTGCCTATTATTACTTCAGCAACAACGTGGCTTGATACTGAGTTAGAGATACAGGAGTTGGTCACTCAGGCTCTAACATTTTATAAAGTATGTTATAAAAATTATGGAGAAAGGGGGAGATCCTCCATCCCCCATTTCTCCCTTGTCTTTACATGACAGCTAACACTAAATTAACAATCTACATTTGGAAGATGGTGTTAGACCACTGACTAAAGTTAAGACTCAGCTGGGCATCATGGCACATGCTTATAATCCCAGCTTCTCAGAAGAGGCAGGAGGATCATGAGTTCAAGGCCAGCCTTGTGAACTTAGAGAGCCCTTGTCTCAAAATAAAATGAAAAGGTCTGGGGATGTAGCTCAGTGGTAAAGAGTCCTGGGTTCAGTCCCAAGCACCAATAAAATAAATAAAGTTAAGATTCCTGTTAGATGAGTGATCCCTTATTTCCTACAAAGGGCCACTGCTTCTGTCTCCATCCTTGTCTAAAGTTCTATAATGTTTGCATGTTCTGGCAGTGATTAACATTTGTTCTTTACTGTAAATTATATGCTAAAAATGGTAAATCCTGTTGTCAGAAAACAGAATCTTGTTATAGCTGGGTGAAGCACTATTCTCAGTAAGTCAAGTGACTTCCAAGTACTGCTGCCCTTGTCTAAWTCTGTGCTATCATTATAGTTACAGGTTATGTGTTATTTACATTAAAATTAATTAAAATTTAAATCATTCTCCCATTCACTCTTGCCACATTTCAAGTGCTCAACAGCAACATAAGGCTCAATGGGTGCTATAGTGGATAGCAATGACTTAAAACATTTAATGCTGTTGATTTTTCAGACCCATCAAAGAAGTCCTTTAGTCAGATTTAGATTTATTAGTACATTGCTCTTTGCTTATTTTTCCTTATTTGCCTAAAATTTATTGCCCAGTTTAATCATACTTATTCACCACACTGCCAATTTCCTAAAATCAAATATTCCCTCAAAGGAGGAAGATCGCAAGTATTGACTATTAAAAAAGAAAGAAAGAAAAAAAGCTTTCATAGACTCTGAATGCAATTCCGGATGTAGAGTGTCAGAAATGGTTTGAGTAATCATCACAGCCAACAGGCCTGCTGCCTTTGAGTTAATGAGGCTTATCTGTATATAGATATTTGCATGATTGTTTCAAAATCAGTCATTTCTAGTCAATGTTTGCATATTAAATGAATACAGAAGGCATATAATACCTTCTGGTTGCTGCTTTAATAAGTAGAATAAAAGAAACTGATCAGTAGTCTCTAGCCTGTGTGTGTGTGCAAGCGCGCGCGCACACACACACACACACACACACACCAAGGACAAGTATATCCTGTGAGTGTAAAATGTTTCACTAAAGCATCACTCCAAGAGTTCCATATCTTTCTACATTTCCTCATACTTTCTCCAACAACTCTCCTTTTGTCCCTGCCCTCTCATACCCGCTCCAGCATCCACACTCATAGTCTTGTTCTCTAGCTGCCTCCAGAGTACTATCATCCCACCTACCAACTTGAAAACTACATTTCGCTGTGGTCACTACCTATCAGGCAAAGTTTGTAGAGAAGACAAGCTAAGGAAGATTCCCGTGAGGCTTCCAAAATGTGGCAGATTTCATGAGAAAAATGATTCTTTCTTATTTGTCCTGATCAAAAGATAACACAGATATAGATAAAATAGTATTAAATGAAAGCACAAAGGGAGTTTGACTATATTGTATGAAAGCTAGGGTTGTAACTGGGGTTACTGAACACAGTTAACCTAGGTTCAAAATATTAGCTCTGAATCTAACCTAGGTTCAAAATATTAGCTCTACCACATTATAGCTGTAGTAATCTCCAATAAGTGATCTCCAATAATGAGCAGATTCCTCATTTGCAAGTTAAGAACTGGACCAGCCTAAAGTTGTTATGAGTAATAACATCATACACATAGGTGACAATAAATGATAACAGGAAAAGAGGCATATTTCATCAAAGATGCAGAACCATAAATGTTTTGGATTTGCAAAAGTAACCTTTCAACAAAAGTACACATTTTAAAAAAGGCTTTAATGGGGCTGCAAAACCAGGAGTCCCTGTCTATGACCAAAGACTGAGGTCTATGACCACAGATGTCATAGTCACTCAACAGTTTTCCTTAGAAGATATGACTTAGTCACTCAATCATAGCATAAACCATGATTGGTGATATGGGAAAGTAAGTAAGTCTGAAAAAGAAGGATTTTAAAATTTGGATAGAAAAGGAAAAGGATATTTCCACAAAGACACTGAACACTAAAAGTTTATATTTAGATTTTGGAGGAAAAAAAGTTAATGAAAATCTTTGGGATTTGAAAAAGGTGATAAAATACATTTAAAAACTGATACAGGTTTTTGACCAGAGGAATAAGTAGAAAATTTAAATCACTGATCCTGGGATCCCTGATTTACTGACAACTGAGCCAAAGAGGTAATCACAAAACCATACTTATAAAAGTGCGTAATGACTAGAGCTATCCAACTCAAACATTACATTACTGGGACTGAAGAATGAGAGTGAGAAAACCCATCTGTATTTGGGTAAACTCTTTGTTCTCCTATTATACCTCATACCCCTTAACTTAGTAAACTATCTTACAAATAGGAGTCACTGGTCACAAGAAAGATTAATGTATAGAGAAGTTTCCAGGTAAATCCCACCACTAAACACAAGTACTACATATCAGTAGGTTTCTACTGATGACAGCACATGCAGTCTTAAAAAATTGTTTTTAGAGAAAACAAGATTGTAAAATATCCCTCCTAGAGTTGGAGACGACAGGAACGCATTAAATGGGACAAAATAGGACTCCAACCCAAGGCTTCAAATATAAAGTGAGTTGTCACTTTGTATCCCTTTGTATATGGGCAGTAACAATGTAAAGAAACTTAACAGAAAGGGAAAAATACAATAATCCTCATCAACATTCCTTCCAACCATAGCACACACCCAGAATATTAGACTTCATATGGGCAATTCCCATAATTCTGAGAAAAATGATTCTTTCTTATTTGTCCTGATCAAAAGATAACACAGATATAGATAAAACAGTATTAAATGAATTAGTAATTTTCTCTGTGTTTTAATTTTTGCATACTTCAGTTTTATGAGCTCCCAGTGTAAGTAACAAAAGCAAATGTCCTGGCAGGGCCAAAGAATTCTAACTTTATCTTTCCTTAATAGGCATTCAAATGAAGAATTACAATATAATATGTAAATATGCCAGAGTTAATAAAGAGAGCTGATATATAAATGGAACATTTTCTAATATCTTGTATCACAGTAGAAAATGGCAACATAACCATACAATTGTAGTTATAGGATGCTAAGGTACTGTTACAGTAACAAATACAAAAATTACAATGAAATTGAAAACTGGGCAGGATATCAAATCCAATTAATTTCCTTAAGCTAAATTTCTTCAAGAAGTCAAATGACCGATTTCAAATCCCAAGTCTGAGCCTGAAGAACTCTGACACTTATTAGTAAATTACTTATCTAACTTCTATATACACCATTATATAAAAGTGATTCTGGGGAAGGAATTAATAAATGGAAAGAGGTAAAGTACCTAGTACAGTGTCTGGTGCTTTGCAAACACTCAGCACCTGTTACCTATTATCATAATTATGATGCTAATCATCTCAGGAAACAGATTCCCATGTTGAGCAGGAATGAGAACTTCAAGTCCTAGACCATGGAATTTTGCATTTAATTAATAATTTTGAGGTTATTAAGAGTATGAAATTGGGGGCTGGAGATGTGGCTCTGCGGTAGCGCGCTCGCCTGGCATGCGTGCGGCCCGGGTTCGATCCTCAGCACCACATACCAACAAAGATGTTGTGTCCGCCGAGAACTAAAAAATAAATATTAAAAATTCTCTCTCTCTCTCTCTCTCCTCTCTCACTCTCTCTTTAAAAAAAAAAAAAAAAAAGAGTATGAAATTGGAAAATGTGCCATTCAAAGGGGGAAAGATGATGAATCCATGAATACAAACACTAAAAAGAGTATGTGGATTTTTAAGGATAAAATGTGGTTGACTTAATAATTCACTTCCTCAAAGTGCAGAATTACACATGTATGCAAAGTTAGCTGGGAAGAACTCAGAGAAAACATGAATGCACATTTATCTGCATTTTATGGAAGTGTGTAAATTTATAAACTTTATACAAGTTCATTTGTAATAAAACTGATTTATAGCAGGCAATGTAGCTAAAACATGTAAGGCCACCAATGTCTTTAAACATTTCCTCTTGACTGTACATTTTATATTTCTTAGTTGCTAGATATAGTAATAATTCTCAGGAAATTAAAGTATGTCTTTAGATACCAAACTTAAAAAATAAGATATATTAAAGTACAATCTGTAATTACAATTACAAATTAGCATAACGACACCATATTACTTTAATGAATAGACACTAGCCACTATACTTTCAATTCATCCATCTTTAGTAATTTTCATACTAATGCATAAAACTTAGAAATATTTCTTAAGTATACATGCAGTGCCTTCATACTGGAATGACATTCATCCTACATCTAAAATGGATTCACTCTGAACACATCAAAACTCTTAATCCAAAGAAAACCATATTTGGAGCAGATGGCCCTAGAGTAAAGACTGTATTTTAACATTATTATTCGATTAGGAAATGCTTTGTAAAGATTTTATGAGGTACAAGGCAATGTTTCTTCATATCTTAAATAAAATACCCACAGGGCTCTATAAGTAGTACTTGTGACCAACACTTTCTAAGTTAAAAGAAATATGTAAGCATTAAAGTAGTCACGCTGGTTGTTACTAAGTCTAACTTTTAAATTTTTCATAATAAATACCAAAGGCAAAAATGAAAAGTGAACAGAGCTGTGTCAATCTTAGGGTTTAGGCTTCTTGATTTTTGTTAATTCTGAATTTTGAGCTTTAGCCAGTTTTTCAGAAAGAAATCATTCCTAGCATTTATTTTATCTAGTTTATACTGCAAACTTCAACAATGTGCTCAGGAGAGACAGCACTCTACTTTGGAATATGGTACTTTTGTCTTTTGTCAGAGTCTGAATTCATTTATTATGAAGCTGTTTGACTTATTTAGTTTTTGAAGGCTATTCTATCAATTTGTTGAACAAAGTTCCCATTTTACTCCATAACTGTAATATTTCTCAATAGTAGTTCATTTTTAAAAATTGTTCTTTACTTCCCATCTTTCCTGTCCACATTACCAGAAAGGCAACTCAATCTACAGCAATTTTCTAAGTCAGATGACTATTTAAAACTTTTTCATTATAGAAAATATTCTTCCATCAATACAGATCTTTGGGGGTTTTCTTAAAAATCAACCTTAATTAAATAAAACACAACAGCACTTTTTCTACATACATTTGTTGGAGAATTAAATTTTCTGTCATGGAATCAAAGGTCAACCATTCTTTTTCATCCACCTTCAAATTAAGTAACTTGCTTTAAGAATGTGGGAGATAAAAAGCAAAAAGGATATTTCTTATATTCCAAGTCAGTCACTTTGCAAGCAAAATCACCACAGCCAGTAAGGTGTGTTACTTGTCTTCTAAGGCAAACCAGCTTCACCTTTTAGTAAGATTGGCATCTAAACTATCATAGATTAGAATACCGCTTAACTTTTAGTCCCTGCTCATAAATTATAGTTAATGCCAAATCTCTAGTGACCAAAACTACCAATCTAGGACCCAGAATGGTTCTACACAAAGTCACTCTAGTAAATTGAAATGAAAATTTTGACTGCAGAGTCAAATGAAACAATTCTGTATTGGTAAGTTTAAGGGCATAAATGTGGAGGGTTTTTTTTTTGCCTTTTATTTTATTTTTTTCGAGAAGGTCTTACCTTTTTGCTGAAAGTATGGAACTGTTTGCATACTTTACTTTTTCATGAAATATATTTTTCTCCAACGTCCCCATAAAATTGACAAGCACAAAATATATACTGAAGTCACATATTGTCCTATAGCCAAACATGCTCTACTGGAAACATTTTTCTATACGTTTGTAAATTGTGTTTCACAATGGAAATAGCTATTTTTCATGATTCCTTCCACGTGCATCTTCTGTTGCCAACAAAGTGTAGTAAGGTTGGATATTACTTACAGAAGTTACATTCAAGAGGAGATGAGAATTTATAGATTACTAGATCTACAGGAAGAAGGTACAAATGCACGCACTATGGCTACATCCAAATATTTTAAAATTAAAGATATTAGCTGATATTCAATAAACTAAAAAAATGCAGTAAACTTACAAATGCCTATTTAAAACCACAACTAATACAGGCCACCGCAACTCTACAGAATCAAAGAGAATAAAAATCAAGTTCTTAAGAACAAAAAAATATTTCCAAACATCCCCTAGTAAAATTCCCTAGTAGTTATGCACTCCTAGTTAATTTCCTGAAGTTTCGTGGCATATATTCAGGTCTTTGAGGACTTAAATACAAAGAATTCTTTTAAGTAGCAAAGTTGCTAATGTTTTTAGGCGCTGAAGCATCTGGATTCCTGAATTTATCCCTATTTATAGAAAGGGAGGGGGTCCAGGAATATTCCCGATGGCCAACTTCTTTAATGCATCGCTCAGATATCTTAAGGTCTTCCTGAAACTTTTAGGTCTAAAATTTTCTCTGAAATTCACAAAAACAGGCCACCAAAAAACAGTTGCCATTGTGATATGGTGCTGACTACTGCTTCTTACTACTCTTTCTCCACACCCCTCTTCCAGAACAGGGGCGCTCTCCCAAGTCCCAATGCTGGGCCAGAACACTGGATCCAAAGGAGACCTGAAACCCTCTTGGCGAGGCAGGAGGCAGCCCCGATGGAGCGCCCCCAGCTCCTCCACAACTACCCACACGTCAGGCCCGGATACCACCGACAGAGTACATTTGGGAAAGAAGGAATAAGCGTTTCCTGTCACTTAGAACCTGCTCTGGCCCTTCCCGCCGGGATCTCGTTTGTACCTGCCGCCGGCCCTCGCCCATTTCTTTCCCTGGCGGGGCTTGGCCTCAGAAGGGCTCCCTCTTCTCCTGGCTTCTTTCTCATCCCGGTAGGCTCCAGGGCCTCTAATCGGAGACCGAGCGGAGCTCCAGGGGCTTCCTACAGGCCCTAAGTCTAGTCCTTCCCTCGCAAACAACATCCCGCCGAGCGCGCCCTGGACACCGGGAGCAGCGCTCCGAAAGAGGGCCCCAGGCCTGCCTTCCTGGAGACACCGAGAAGAAAAGGGAGGGAAGGCAGGACGAAGACGGGGCCTGCCCTGGAGCCAAGTACCTTGTAGAAAGCGCCATTGGAGCCCCGCACCTCCACCACCAGCTCCTCCATCTTCTCTTCAGCCTTGTTCGCGCCGGGAGCCCGCCCCCGAGAGGTGGGCAGCGGGCGCTCAAGGCCCAGCCGCCGCCGCCGCCGCCGCCGCGCTGCCGCACGCCCCCCGGCAGCGGCGCCGCCGTCACCGCCGCCGCCCGCGCTCGCCGTCGGCTCGCCGCCCGCTCTAAGGCGGCCCTTCACCGGAAGTGAAACCGAAACGGAGACGAGCGCCTGACTGAGGCCGAACGCTCGGCCCGCTCCTCGTGTAAACAGTGAAACCGCGTCACGTGATTTATGCCGCCCCTCCCCCCGCGGGTTCGGCCCCCTCGGCCCCGCCCTCTTCTTCCTCACGGGCTGGGGAGGGCGCGCGTGCGCGCTGCTGGGAACCAGCTGGGACCGGGTCCGGCGTAGGGCGCGCGGGTTGGACGTGCGCGGGCTCGGTGGAGGGCGGGAAGGCGCGAAGGGCGGTGACAGGTCTCGCGGCCTAGCCTCCCTCTACTGGGGAGGGCCAGAGCGCCGATTTGTGTAGAGCTCCAAGGGGGCCATGGGAAAGGGCCTCCTATGGAGATCAACTGCATCCTGGGGCCAGGCAAGGATTAGACGGGGCTTTGATTTGGTTCACTTTTTTTTTTTTTCTCCCAAAGTAGCGCAGAGCCTGATTGAATTGGAGGTGGGACAAGAAAGGTGATGAATTAGATTTGAGGTACAGGGCAGAGAATAACATCCTTCCCCACTAAGAGATCTTGGGCTATCTTGTGGGTACATTCTGTACCTTCTGAGTGGCACCGGACCACATACTCCTCTTTCCTCAATTCATTTTTATATTTTTCTTGACCTTGATGCAAAAAGAATGTGTTTTGTGCTTACTAGTTCCTTTACAGTGCGTTTCTGCCCTTCTCAATGCCTACCTTGCACCAAGGGTGTGCATGTATGTAGCACTCATCTGGCCAGACTACAGGGGCAGTTGGACCTTTTTCTTGCAGTTCTCCGCCTTTACCCTCTACAGTAGCGCCAACCATAACTTTCCCATTCCTGCCTCTTCACTGAGCTCATATCCACATTGACCCATATTCCCTTCGTCTACAAGACTTGCATTCAACTAAGAAGTTTATTAAGTGCAAACCATGTGGCAAGCACTGTGGTAAGGGCTAGTGAGACATTGGTAACCAAAATGACTGCCAGCATTGAACTTGGAATCTAGAGGTGTAGATAGACATAAATCAAATTATCACAAAATAAATATAGATTTACAACTGCGATAAGGGCTATGAAGAATAGGTATACCTATTATAGTGGGACCTGATCCAGTCTGGGGAGCAGGAGGGGTGTTGCTAGAGAAGGGAATGATTCCTGTGGGAATGTGAGAGGTAAGAGTTAACTGGCAGTACTGGGGGGGGGGGGKAGGGGTGTGTGTGGAGTGAACTGCCTCAGGCAGGTGTCCTAAAATGAGAGGCATGTTGGTCCTCCAGTTCCTTTCCCACCTGACTCACAGAAAGAACAACAATGTCCTTGCTGGTGGAACTCCAGCTTTAAAGCAGTAGATCAAGGGCCACAATCCTTGAGGCTACAGGAAACAGAAATGCCCCATTGTACTAGGGTCATTGGGTAGTCACAATATATGAAAACTCTAATAGGGCTGAAATAGAATCTCACCACAGTCTGAAAGCGAGCAGAGTGTTATCTTTAACTCCAACGTAGTAAAAGGGGACATATTGGAAAGATTATACCTTCCGTAAGATGTTGTGCAATTTGCCCAGGGCTTTGAAACATGTGGGCTCTTTACAACTGTTCCTTAACCTAAGATGCAATTTCATGCCTTCATGTGCCTGGACATGCTTGCAGGCCCCATAAATACCCTTCCCCTTAAGGTTATCAGCTGAATTCCTATTTGGTAGTTATTTTACCTCCCGTGCAGAGTTGAGTTAACTTTGCTCTTCAATTCTCAGCATATTATCATCATCAGTTCCTACCTGGCTCCTTTTGTTTATATTTTTTTATTGACATTATTTTTCCTCATCATTCTCAATCCCCATTGTCTTCTAGACATAATCTGCAACATGTTTGCTATAGCTTTTTGATAATTTTGGACAAATCGTGTTTTGTATACATCTTCTGCATTTATGGAAACTGTTTCCACTAACACTGTTTCTGAGCTATATCCACATTGCTGTGGGTACAAATTGGTTTGTTATTTATAATTGCTTTTGTACATGCCATAGATTTTACTGATATGTATTCCTAGTGATACAGTATCTAGATTATTGCCAACTCTCTGATATCATATTATAGTGAAAATCCTTGTGAATTAATTTATGGACCTTTGCAAACATTTATTTGTGCTTTTAAAGAACACTGTGTATACCTCCTGTTTCCTCATTGTACTGCCTATATAGCAGGGACTCAGATGTTGAATGCCTCTATTATGACGCATAAAGTACTAGACTCATTTATCTACATTTCTGTTTCTTTCGTTGGACTCTCCATTCCCTTCAGGCAAGGAAATTGTCTTGTCTTTGGGCTCTAGGCATACTAAAAAATATTTGATTTCAGTATATGTTCAATGAATGAATAAAAGCTAATCTCAACTACGTTCACACACTTTGACTTAATCTTTCCTTCTTCACTCCATTTCTCAGTCTTGCTCTGATCACTAACTTTTTACTTCCCCCTTTTCAAGATAGACCATCTGAATTCAGACATTGGGTTCATCCTTGCTCATGAACCTGCTTTATAGCCCAAAGTCTTCCCACTTTGTTACTGGCAACACCTGCCTTTGCATTAGTTGCTCAGACTGTTTAAAATTAAGTCATCTTGACTCTCTTTATCTCAGACACCTAATCCAATGCCAAATCCTTTCAGAGTCTAGAATTGATTTCTTATCGCCTGCACTGTTAAACCTGTGATCTGAGTCGCTATTCTCTCTTACCTGGAAAATGGCTACAACTTTTTACTGGTCTCAGTGTAGCCACTCTTGTCATTTCTCTGTCAACTCCCAACATAAAAAAAGAGAATGACCCTCTTCAGGTATCAAGCAAGTCACTCCTCACTCAAAACCTCCCAAGGACTCCCTCAATTTCTCAGGCAAAAGCCACAGTCATTAATTATTTATTCCAGCCTCAATGTGCTATGCAGAAGCTCTGGCTTCTGTTATCTCCTCTGTCTCACCTTCTACTTTCCTCCTTCACTCCATTCCAGCCACAGTGTTTTCTTTGCTGTTTCTTGAAAATACTGGATAGTTTCTATCTATCTCCCCTCAGTAGAATGTAAGCTCAGTGAGAACAGAGATTTTCATTTATTTCATTTACAGCTGATCCCCAGTGCCTACCATGATGTCTGGAACATATTAGATGTTTACTAAATATTATTGAATGGGTGAATGAGTGAGTTGATGAATAGGTATTGAGGACTTAGCCAAGGTCAAGTCTGCTCCTGTGCCTGTATTATCTAATATTAGAAAGATGCTTCAGTGCTTCTATCCCTGCCTTGGCCACTGCCTTCCATTAAATTGCTGCCTGTTGTCTTTGCATTGATTAATTCTGTGTTATTTCCTGCTCCTTTGCAACTTGAGCCCTCTGAGTCTTTTTTCATGCCTCAATCCCAGCTGAAATGCCTTCTGCCCTTTCCAACTCGGGAAATCCTATGTACCCTTCAGGACTCTGCTGTCTTCCTTCTTCCATGACACTTTCTCTGACAATTTCACCTCACCTTGACTTCTCCTTTGAATGAGATATTAGTCAAAATGCAATGAGAACTTTTAGATTTACAGGAAATGTGAGCAGGTAGCACAGTTCCTACTCTTCTCACACCTTGTCCCATGCAGTTTCCCCTATTACTAAAATCTTGTATTAGTGTGATACATTTAGTACAACTGATACACCATGATTAACTAAAGTGTATAGTTTACATTAAAGTTAACTATTTGTTCTGTTCTGGTCTGTGAATTTTGCCTAATGTGTCCATTCCACTACATAAAAAATTCCCTGTGCTTCACATGTTAATCTACACTACCTCCTAACCATTGGCAATCACTTTTTTGTTGTCAGCATAGTTTTACTTTTCTCAGAATGTGCCATAGTGGGAATTATGTAGAATGTAGTTTTCATTGTGTTTTATTTTTATTTATCAATATTAATTTGATATTCCTCTATGTCTTCTTATGGGTTGATAGTTTATTTCTTTTTATTGTGAAATAATATTCTACTGTATGGATATAATAGTTTGGTTTTTCACTCTCCTATTGAAGGACATCTTGGCTGCTTCCAGTTTGATTATAAGTAAACCTGCTGTAGTCTTTCTTGTGCATTTCATGTGTGTGTGTGTGTGTGTGTGTGTGTGTGTGTGTGTTGGGGGGAGCATTGGCTTTCAAATCACTAAGGTAAATACCAACCAAAGTGACTGTTGGGTCATATAGCAAAACTAAATTTGGATTTTTTTTAAATGTCAAATGCTCTTCCAAAGTGGCTGCATCATTTTGCATTCCCACCAGCAATGAATGAGACTTCCTATTGCTCTACATCCTTACCAGATTTTGGTATTTCAGTGTTTTGGATTTTGGCCATTCTAACTGGTATGTAGTAGAATCTGATTGTTGCTTTAATTTATCATTTGCTAATGCATATGACATTGGGTATCATTTTATGTGCTTATTTCCATCTGCATATCTTCTTTGATAAGGTATGTGCTCAGATCTTCTGCCCATTTTTAAATTAGGTTGTCTTCTTTATGAGTTTTAATAATTATTTTTATGTTTTAGATACCAGATCTTTACCAGATATTTGTTTTGCAAGTGTTTTCTCTTAGTCATTGTATTGTTTTTTTTCTCTTAATTAACAGTATCTTTTACAGAGTAAAAAATTAAAAATTAAATTGATTTTTTAAAAAAAATAATTAAAAAGTTAAATACTTTTGATATTGTCCCCAAAAAGTCATTATCAAACCTATTTTCACCTAGAATTTCTTTGTTAACTTCTAGAAGTTTTATTGTTTTGTGTTTTACATTTAGGCCT